ATATATATATATATATATATATATATATATATATATATATCAGAAAATGGCAGTTACCACTATCATCATGTGTCTCAGATTCAAAAGTTCAAATGAAGAAGCAGTTTTCAGCTCACATAAGATAAAAGCCATGGGCTATTTTGGCAGATTCTGTTGGGTTTTTTGACACTTGCTACCATTTTATAGGAACTATAAAAAACTGCAGTCAAAAAAGAACTGAAAACCAATATATATCTGAAATGAATACTTTGTTTGTTAAACCTGGAAACAAACATTTACAAAGTATAGTTTGGTAGTTTATATGCAACCCAACAAATATGCATCTAGCAGTTTGTGACTGCAGCTCAAAGAAGAATTGTGTATAAAGTGCAGTTGATGTGGTACACCTAGATGATATAAATATAAAGCACTCTTTGTACTGTAGCTAAATCATCAAAGTTTAATGTGTATAAATTAAGTGTAATTTATTTTGTACATCTTCAGCATATGAATATGAACCACTCTTTGTAATGGTAAATTAACAGTCAAACTTAGATGTGTATAAAGTGTAGTTTTTGTGGTAATTTCAGAAAGCCAACTTACACAGAATCTGTCATTTTTTACAGGAAATCTGAAAACCAAAGTGTGCTGTATGAAATGTAGCTTATGGAATTGGTTCCCAAAGCCAACATACATGTGTCTCTGAAATGCTGTTTGTGAGATCAGTCTTGGGAACCAACATGTCCAAGAAAAAAAAAAATGTGGGCTACAGGTTAAGAATTATTTTAGCTAAAGCACCAATTGATCTGTTAAGTTAAACTGGTAAAGTCATAATATCACTAATATACAAGAATTTAGGATCATTCTGGAAGTACAAACCCATCCAGACTCTTTATACTCACAACTAATTACCAGAAGTAGGTGACATATACTTTACTTCAGATTAAATAAACTAAGCCTTATTTTAACTTAATTTGTACTGTTTATGAAATAACTGTAAATAACAATTGCTTGTGGCAGTTAACTGAAGTGGTGCCTTCATTTAGGATCATGATTTGATTATAAACAATCTTGTACAACATCAAATATAAAAAATTAACATGTTGGTATTTAACATTGCCTTCAATACCAACTACAATGAAACTATGCTGTCCTGTAACTGTAAATTCATTATAAGATAAAATAATGAAAACATACCTTTGAACACGTGTATTAACAGATCAAATAATCATTTTTATAAGAGATCCTTGGTATG